TGATGGTGATTTGTGTGTGTGCAGGCACATTTTAACTTTCTGTCTCTTAAAATCTCTAAATTTGGTAAAGATTTGGTTTGCTTTTTCTGCTTTTGTTTTTCTTTCTTCCTTTTTTTTATGCCAACCAAAATAATTTCACTCCACAATAAACCTTCAGTGCAATTTAAGGGGGAGTACTGTACTGATCTATTGCTAGAACAGGCCAAGTTAATCTCCAATCTCTGGTAGATGCTTGGTTTTATTTTTTTCTTCCCCTCCCCGTCTAAAACTTTTAATCCTCTTAATTCTTTAGGCAAGCTGCTGATTTAGCTAAACTTGGGTCTAAGGGCAGAGAGTTGCTTATCCCCCAAAGCCCTTCTATTTGTCTAAGCCACATGCAAGGCAGATAGATTTTTATCCAGTAGTGGACTCCTATAATAACACTCTTCCCCTTCCTTTTCTTCTTTCTTAGATGCAGCAGCTCTTTTACGAAAACTATGAGCAGAACAAAAAAGGTTACATCAGAGACCTCCATAATAGCAAGATCCACCGCGCCATCACTTTGCACCCCAACAAAAGCCCACCTTACCAGTACCGGCTTCACAGCTACATGCTGAGTCGTAAAATAGCAGAGCTGCGATACCGGACCATTCAGCTGCACCGGGAGATTGTCCTCATGAGCAAATATAGCAATACAGAAGTCCACCGAGATGACCTTCAGCTGGGAATTGCACCTTCCTTCATGCGATTCCAACCGCGCCAGCGTGAGGAGGTTTTGGAGTGGGAATTCCTGACCGGAAAGTATCTGTATTCCACAGCAGATGGGCAACCACCTCGCCGAGGCATGGACTCTTCCCAGCGTCAGGCCTTGGACGACGTTGTGATGCAAGTCATGGAGATGATCAATGCAAATGCCAAGACTAGGGGGCGGATCATCGACTTTAAGGAGATACAGTATGGCTATCGAAGAGTTAGTCCCATGTATGGGGCTGAGTATGTCCTTGACTTGCTCCTTTTGTACAAGAAGCACAAGGGTAAGAAAATGACTGTCCCTGTTCGGCGACACGCATACCTGCAACAGACCTTCAGCAAAGTCCAGTTTATGGAACATGATGAAATGGATGCCAAAGACCTGGCCAGTAAAATCAACCAGGATTCAGGATCTTTGTCCTTTCTCTCCAATTCTCTTAAGATGTTTGTCCCATTCCAGCTAAGCAAGTCAAAATCTGAGAAGACAGAACCCAAAGACCAAAAAATCAACATCTTAATTCCTCTTTCTGGACGTTTTGATATGTTTGTGCGCTTCATGGCCAACTTTGAAAAGACTTGCCTTATTCCTAACCAGAACGTCAAATTGGTTGTCTTGCTATTCAACTCCAACTCAAATCCTGATAAGGCAAGGCAGGTGGAACTGATGAGAGACTATCGTATGAAGTATCCCAAGGCAGACATGCAGATCTTGCCTGTTTCTGGAGATTTTTCCCGAGCTCTGGCACTCGAAGTAGGGTCCTCTCAGTTTAACAATAGGTCTCTGCTCTTCTTTTGTGATGTTGACTTGGTTTTCACAGCAGAGTTCCTCCAACGATGTAGAGCCAACACAATTTTAGGGCAACAGATTTATTTTCCAATCATCTTCAGCCAGTATGATCCAAAGATTGTCTATAGTGGGAAAGTTCCAAGTGAGAATCACTTTGCGTTCACGCAGAAAACTGGTTTCTGGAGGAACTATGGCTTTGGAATTGCCTGCATTTACAAGGAGGACCTCATTCGGGCAGGGGGGTTTGATGTTTCTATCCAAGGCTGGGGTCTTGAGGACGTGGACTTGTTCAACAAGGTGATTCAGGCTGGTCTCAAGACGTTCCGGAGCCAAGAGGTTGGCGTAGTCCATGTACATCACCCTGTCTTTTGTGACCCTAACCTTGATCCAAAACAGTATAAAATGTGCTTGGGATCCAAAGCATCAACATATGGTTCTACGCAGCAGCTAGCTGAACTGTGGCTTCAAAAAAATGAGCCAAATTTTGGAAAGAACACAGTTGCTAATGGTTCCCTGAGGACAGCTTAATATCCTGGGAGAGGGGAGGAAAAAAAAGACACTGTATTGAATTTTTTAAAATTGCCCTAATTTATTTTTTGTTTTGGGGAAAATGTTTTGATAGTTCATTTTTTAAAATGACCGCACAAGGGTATATTTTAGAAATCATCGTTTTCTTACAAGGACCTTTCCACCTTTTTTCTGAACAAAACTGTGATCAACCTTTGCCTTTTGGAAAAAATAATAATAATAATAATAACTGGGGCTAAATATTATGACTTGCCTGGTTCTGACAACTTGAAATAAGTCTCTTTTTTTTGTTTTCCTTTTTTGGCTGATAAATGGACCAAAAAAAAAGAAAAATCAAGGAGAAAAAATCTCAGCAACTCTACACATGGTACTTTCATTGCTCATTTAGTTGCCTGGGCTGTTCCAGTAGCAATTAAATGCAAGGTGGCATAAATGATTCACTTACTTTTCCCCCATCTGCAGGAGTGTGTGTGTGTGTGCGCGCGCGCGCGTGTGTGCGCCCGTGCGCGTATGTGTGTAATGTTGATTAATTTGCCTTCAAGAATGTTTCATTTGGTTGCCTGTTTCAGCCTTAAAATGTCTTTTTGCTCAAAATGTTTTCAAGCAACCAAAACAGATGTGGAAAATGAGCACGACGTTGATTATAAACACTGTTGTCTAAAAAAAAGAAAAGAAAAGAAAGAAGAAAAAAATACATTCTTTCTTGCCCAGGTCTAGATCTGACGTTTTAAAAAATCCATATCAGGTTCTAAGTTCGAAACATGATTTTTGTATGAAACAGTATTGATGACAAAGAACAAAGCTTTAGTTAATAGAGGAATGGCCATTCTGTGCCAGAAAAAGTAACAAATGTAAATCTGAAACACTCCAAATTAAATGTGTTTGGGAAAATATTTATTTCCCCCACTGGTTAACAGTATTCTGATTGGGAACAATTTGCTACATTTCATTTGCTTAGTTTTTTTGCTTTCTGTATTGTGTAGGGTTTTAATTTATTTAATATCCTTTGTTTTTAGGTTCCTGTCTTTTTATTTTTAATAACTACTAGTCATTAATATTTATGTATCCTAGAAATGTATTGCCTTTTCTTACTGTTTAAGGTAGCTTACATCTTCTTACTTTGCAGTAAACCGTTCTCCAAAGACTCTTCTAATGTCTCCTCTTTTATTTGCTAAAATGTCTGTCTTTCTTTTTAAAGAGTAATTGGAAAACCTGGATATGGTTTTTGATGCTCCAAAATGTATTTCATTTTTCAGGAGGGGGACCGAAACTGTGAGAGAGAGGGAAAAAACCTGTATCTAAGCACAGAGCAAAACGTTTAAAACTTGGGCATGTTGTTGCAAAATAAAATGCATTTGAATAAAACTAAGCCTACTGCATTGTTGCAATTCCACCAGAACTTCTATTCAGGTAAAGTCATTTGTAATGTGTGGCTGGATTTGCACTTCCCCCTCAGTCGTAATTCTTTATGGTTTTTTGAACAAACTACAATTAATTGGCTTTCCCCAATACACTAAGCCATAAACCATGGTTTTCAAACCACAATAACTGGTTTCCTCTATGCATGAAGCCAAAGTCAAACAGGACTTGGCACAGTGATATGTGATTCCAAATTTACATTCCCCCCCCCAGGAAAAATTACATTAATAAATAGTCTAAGTTTATTTATTGCATCAATTGATATAGCTGCCCATTGTACAGTCACAACTCAGCACACACAGGATTAGAAACCAACACAAATATAATCAACAATAACATATCATCAACAATAACAGAATAATAGTACAATGGCAGCCAAGGGCGATCTAACTCACACCACATAACCGTAGTCATGTCAGAAATGACAGGCTCACCCAGCCTACAGGCTTCATGCTCAGGGGAACATCGAGGTCTTCAAGGATTTACAAAACGCCAGCATGGTTGGGGCCAAGCAAAATTTGGGGGAATGATATTCCAAAGGCAGACATTGCTATAGGGAAGGCCCACTTCCTGAGTCCTAGCAGAAGGCACTGCTTAATAGGTGGGCCACGCAAAAACAATGGGAGAAAGGTGGACCTTCAAATAACTTGGCCCCATGCCACGAGGGGCTTGGTAGGTGGTAACCAGGACCTTGAATTATACCCAGCAGCCTCCTAGGAGCCAGTGCAGTGCGCAGAGCAGTGCAGCACTCTGTGGAATTCCTTCATGGCTTTATTCCCAGTTGTGCTTCTATATGGAACCAGTCAATTTATATAAACAATTAGAATAAAGCAGTACCTTCCGAATCCTAAATATAAGGGAATCTTCTAAAGCTCAACCACTTGGGATTCCAGGGTATGGGCTGCCTTCAAGTGAACATGTTGGAGAGATTTTGCTATGTAGAGGATGGATGGATGGATGGATGGATGGATGGATGGATGGATGGATGGATGGATGGATGGAGCCATTGTGCCACAAAATACAGCATCTGTACTTACCAGGTAGGCCTGATAAGATGTTGCTAGGTGCATAATGCTTTGAATTTGACTTTTAACATTCTGAATAATAAATCACAATAAGGGAATAACAAGATGGCTTACGAGAAATAAGCCAAGACGGACGATTTCAGAAATCATCCAATTTGCCAAGACTGACAATTTCAGAAACCATCCAACATGGTTCTACTTGGGGGATTAGCTTTTTCAGAACATTTCCACTTTCCCATTTGGGGTAAAATCTCAACGTATTAGACAAACAATTCCAGCTAAGCAGCCCAACGGTGTGAAAATACAGGGCGATGGGGGGGTAATAAAGGACCTAACAATGTTACAGATGACCGTACCAACACTTGCATGCAAATGAAAGTATGCAGCTTATTATTTAGAGCTGGGTAAAAGAAAAAGCACAAGTGATCCATCAAGTTACGTTTCAGCTTGATTTATATTTTTTGTTTGACATCTTCCTTCCTTCCTTATTACCCTAATGGGTGTTACACGAATGTCTTCTCTTTTTGGATTGAATTTGGCTGGGTTTCAGCAGCTTGATTGTATCAGTGATGGTTTTCTGAGAAATTATGCACATTCCACTTTTCTGTGAGTGAATGCAGAAGAATGCTTTGTATGTTGGGATCCAGGTTTTGTAAGGTAGTTAATCTTTACTGTTTGGTAGGTTTGGGGAGACTGAAGGAGGCACTTTGACGTCTGTTTCCATTTCCTTTAGATTGTCATGACATTTTGTCTCTCTATCCTGTAACAGTTTTTTGCGTGTGTTTGAGAGACAAGTAGCAATTCCTTGGCCTTTAGAACTCCTTTGGGTGTGTTTTAAATGGATTTAAAGCTGCTTTCTTTCTCTCTCATATGTTATATCGACCTGAATATAAAGAGACCCTGGCTTCTGAATTCACTTTAAAGGAATGGAATGCAAATCTTTCAAGAATTGATATATTGTTGTTAAAGTGCTGTGGGATAGGCAATCTGTTAAAATGTGTTTGAAAATAATGGAGACTTTATGCTATATGCTTTGGCTATGAGTCTGATGCAGTTTATTTTGGCTGCACAATTGTTTTGATGTCCTGGGTTTGGAAAAAAATGTTACAGTATTGCTGTCCTTTATAATCCACCTGTTATACAATGCATATAGTGTTTAACTTGTTTCAGGTGTGTACAAGTCATATAATGATTTCCAAATGTGTGCAGTATTTGGAACTAGGGTGGACATCCTCAATATACAGTGACATTTATAGTTGACATATCACTGAACTGATGAGGACAACTATTCAATTTCTGGCTTTGTAAGAATCTTACCATGTCCTAGATTTTCTTGATGCTAAATCAGGAATAGATAAATTGCAAGGTGCTGGGCATGACACCACACCTCCCATCTTGTAGATTTTGACACATGCCCCTGCAGATGTCCATGTCAAGCATCACCTAGTAGAGGAAGGAAATGGTATGCCCATCCTTCTGATTGATTATGTGTCATCAACTTGGTATTGACTCTGACTACATAGATTTCCTCCATGACAATCTGTCCCTAAGGTCTTCCATCAGTGCATTCATTGCCACTGTAACTGAGTCCATTCATCTTGCTACTGGTTGTCCTCTTCTTCTCCTTCATTCCACCTTTTCCAGCATTAGAGCCTTCTCCAGAGAGCTGGGTCTTCACAGAATGTGACCAAAGTAGGGTCATTTGAGCCTGATCTCCATCATAGGTTGCCATTTAATTTACAGTGTCCTATTGACTCACAAGTGTTTGCAGACAGCTGGCTCACCAAGGGTCTGCTGTGATGCAGTTAGTGCCTTTAAATAGTGAAATTGACATGGGCTCAAGCATTCCAAGCTTCAAGAAATCCAGTGGTTTTCATGTCTAATTAAGATGAACCAAGATGGCAAGGCTATCCAAGACCTATAGTGATCTTAGCTACCAGAGTCAATCTGCAAAAATCCCAGTGACCATGAGATGGCAACCAAGAGTTTTCTGTACATCTTTGCTGCTGCCTAGTGGTTGGATTTTTGCAGACCAAATCCACTACCCTTAACCATGACGTAGATGCATAATTTATGACCAAGAGCCATAGGAGCCCTTCTGGAGCTACTCTCAGTTGGCACCAGTTTGCAGAAAATTAAAATTAAACATCCCTACTTCAAGCATAGCCGTTGTCTCACTCAAATGCAGCTCCTGATACATTCCAGAGATGCACATGCAACCTGGGGCCAAAAAGGTTCCTGCAGTCTTGTGGTCTCATTCATGTAAGTCATGCTCAACTGATGTTAAGTATTCCATGATACCTCACCGATCATCTTTGCACACAGAAAACCAGCATGCCAGAGCAAAGGTTTTGGCCACAACCTCCCTGCTACCCCACAAGATTTTTCTAAAGGTGCATTGAGACATGTTTACCTGCATTTTATCCCAACTCAGTAAAGCATGACACTTTATATTATATGGTGTGGTATGGTATGGTGTTACACAGCATTATATTTATTATATAATATAATAAAACTATATTATATTATTATAATATTAATGGGCCACCAAATTCCCAAATGACTCTAGGCAACTTAATTAAAGAAAAATACAACAGGCCAGAAAAGCAAAGTACAAAAGCAAAACTAATCAAAATAAAACAAAGCAACAAGGGGGCTGCACAATCAGCCTATTCCCAAGGCCTGGGAGATAATTTTATTAGGTTGACTGACCATATATGATAGAAGTAAAGCTTCTGCCACTGATAATGTTCCAATTGGCACATGACTGTTTCATGCAGCATGCATGAAGATGGCAAGTAGGTACTTGAGATATTTAGTGCTAGATCTGTCATAAGAACATTTTCTCAACATTTTTTAGAGTTGGCTTTGCTTCATTTGGCTGTTTCTAGTGGGCTGGGACCTAACCTGTTGAGTCAGAGGAAAGCCGATGGGAAAAGGTTCCCTGAAGCTGAATTGGAGAGTTTTGAAACTGGAGCTTATTTTTGACAATGAAGCATGTTTTGACTGAGGTGGAGATGGTGAAATAGGGAATGTTATTATCTAAGCCCGTTGGTAGCAATATAGCATTTAGGAAGGAGGAGAACTGATGAATCAGACCCTAAGTAGAAGGAAGATCAAAGAAAAGAGTTTGTTCTGGTCATTGATGATAGAAGCCAAGCCAAAAACTAAGGGAGGAGGTGAGTGATAGGAAGGGAAGGATTGAACATAACTCCCTACCTTTTCCAATTTTGCAGCCCTGCTTACCTAAGGAGAAAGTCCTGGGCTTAATTTCAGTTTGAGCATCTCACAAAAACCAAGACAAGCTCTCAATGATGCAAGAAATGTGTATTTATTTAAACTGCATGGACCTTTCAATAAAGGAACTAAATGAAGCCCTCTATAAGCAATGGATCAACAAGGATAAGGCTGTTTGTTTTCTTTCGCTCAAGTTTCTTTGAAAGGATTGGAATGGGGGGTGAGGGGGATTTTACTGACTTTCCATTGTCAAACAGCTGGACTAAAGTGCAGTGTTGTTACAGTGGAGACAGGATCATCTATTCCCCCCCCCCACTCCACCCTCACCTTGATTTGACCACCTGGACTCAAGGAATTAACCTCTAACTTCTTTTCATACTCCTCCATCTGTCCTATGATAGGAGGCATTTAATATTTCATAGATGGGAAATGGAAGAACACAAACCAGGATCCAGCTATGCCATGATTTGAACACTGCCAGAAGCCCAACCCCCTTCCTCTCCCAGAAGCATGAACTACATTGTGTGCATGATAGTTTCTGACAAGGCAGAAAAGAGAGAGTAGCATTAAGTAATGGGAGCGTATGGAACAATTTATCTCTATTGAAAAAAGATGATGACAGACTCTGGTTAGAAGCCTTGATAACAATAAACATTTTATATGGGTGCTTGAAACTCTTAGTAA